CCTCTTTCCATTTCTCGCACCCTCATTCGCTCTTAGCTCGCGCATCATCATCGATTACTATTATCATTATATTTATTTATATTTATATATTTATATATATATAATATTCACCTATATCATAGGGCTCTTAAATTTTAATCGGCTAAAGTTTGCGAACTTATCGTCCTGAATTTCCTTCTAACTCACGTTTGTATGCATCTGTGTCTGTGTACGTGTAACTGTGTGTTTATTTGCGTTTGAGTGGCCTCTTATGTCTCTATGTACAGTCAAGATTGTAATTTATCCCGTAGCAACACTAACACTGCGTTCTTAGGAAGGGTTTCTTCGCTCTCTCTCTCTCTCTCTCACTCTCTCTCACTCCCTCTCTCTCGCTTTTATGCGCTCCGTCTCTTTCTCTCCTCATCATCAAACGCGACGCGAACCCTGCGAGACGTGGACCGATCGATCAGGCCGAAACACCGACCCGTCGTCGCACAGGCCACGATGTAATTCATCGGGAATCGAATAATATATCTCATAATTGACTTTCTGTAAATTGTTTATGATTACGCGATCGTTCGCGGCATCGTTAAATATGCTACTAGCTCTAGCAATTATCATTATCATGATAACGTAATTAGCTGTAAATCGTAGGCCAGCGACGGTCGAGCAACGATTTCACTCGAGAAACGCGGCAAAGATTAGGTCGTCTGATCGTCGATCTAACGTCGACTAACGAAACGTCGTCGTAACACGGACGACGTCACGATCGTCGACGACTATCGAGACGATTCCCTTCTGTTCGCCTGTCTACTGACGATTCCTCGATCGCGGATCGTCGCGTGAAAAATCAAGAGAAAGAATCCTGCCGTTGGCCGTTTCGTGGAGTGCGCGTCGAAGTCACCGCGCAGTGTCGTCAACGCGTGCACTCGAGAGAGAGAGAGATCGATCGATCCTCTCTCCGCGAGCGACCGCCACTGCTGAACTTCAGAACACGGGTAGGAGCGAAAGAAAGGATCAGAATATGCCGGTTGCACGACGATTAAGTGTTACTACGTGTGTGTATGTATATATATAAAACGTTCGCGGAACAACGAACGACGGGACGAATTTGACGCGTGCCTCTTGATTTCCCACGCTGTCGACCGTCTGCTGGTTCTATCTCGACCTACTTCCTTATCTCTTCCTTACTATCTTTCAGTTTCTGCTGCTTCATCCATCGTTATTATTAAGAAATTAAATTTTACTAAAAGGTGATTGCCTAGAAGAATAGTCGCCAGCCGAAGGTAGCTGCCGAAATGCACTACGACCGGTTTCCACGCGACGTCGAACCAGGTGCCCTCTAGCGGACGAATCATTCAACTAGCGCTTCCTCTACCGTCCGATAGTCGAACGGTGCGAGGAAGACAGACGTATGTACCGTCGTATATACGTGTCGTGACACCTAACGCCATCTCGTCCGGTTCGACCGGATCAAACACCCCGCGCGTTTGAGGTTATATCAATCGATGAACATGTCGGATAACGAGAAGACACGCATTCCGGGGAATCGTGATCGTCGCGGTTCGATAAATCACCATCACGGAAATCGATGATCTTTTTCTCGTCTCCTTTTCTTTGTTTTGTCCCTAATTCGCCGTTCATAGTCCGTATACCTTCTTTTCATCGAGGCTAAAGAACGATACGATAACGTTCCGCGAACTTACTGCGTTTTTATATACCGACTAATTTCCTCTCTCTCTCTCACTCTCACTCTCTCTTTCGCTCGTTCTCTCTCTCTCTCTCTCTCTCTCTCTCTCTCTCTCTCTCTCTCTCTGTCTCTCTCTCGACGCGACGATTACGTCCCACGTTATTTATCGATCTCGAGGAACTGTTAATACATACGAATCATCGGCGCAGCACGCGACGAAGAAAGCTGCGTGATGCCAGGCGAGTCTGCTTATGGACGTTGCGCGTGTTTCTCAGGGGTGATCGATCCTAATGCGTACATGCATCGTCGTCATTTTTTCCTTCTCATTTTTCTGCTCTTTTATCTTTTCACGATTCAAACCGGCCTTTGAGCGAATTAAAATCCGATTTTCCGAATAGACCGCGATAGGCGTGGCCTTACAGAATATCGAGGTTGAAGCCCGCCGTGGAGTCAAGGGAATTCAGCAGTTCCTGTGCGCTGAAGTTCGACGTGTCTCCGGTCGGAAGGTTCTCCAGAAATTCGAGACTAAAGTCCGCCGCGGCTACGGACGGGTCCGTGGAGGTGGCTGGCGGTTGCGCGTGTTGCTGTTGCTGCTGTGGCAGGCTGCGTACTCCTGGACTCCCCGCGCCGTACTGATGCGGATGCAGCGGGGAACCTGGAAGGAATTGGTTCGAACGTGATTGATGACGAAGAAAGGATTTTGTGAAGATGTTCAACGAGGACGAATATCATGAGGATTAGTAGCAAAAGACAAACACCTTTATGGTGTAACAAGATAATGGAAGATACAAAAGGAGAAAGATTCAAAGAATTTTCCACGTTCTTGTTTTATATTGAGTAACAATTAAGAATTATTGTTTTAAAAATGATTATTTCTTTTGTAAATAGATTTTAATCGATACTGTAATAATTTCTATATACTTCGGTATATAAAATGTATATACTAAAAGTATTTACATTTCCTTCCTTATTATTCTTTTTTTTTGTCATGTCCTATTATTTTTCTTATATCCCTTGTGATATAATGCAACTAGTTTTGATCAAATAGAAGTACTTGTTAAATATGAATAATTGAATCAATGAAGGATAATTGAAATTTTAAACTTCCTTTCTGAACAATAAGTTCACGTAAACAGACTAATTTTAAGAAGAAAAGTTCAAGTGATATACATGCTTATGATTATTTGAAATGTTTAAAGAAATATTTTATTTATTATCGACATTTTAAATAATTCAGGGGGAAATTTTATTGACCAATTACAATACATTGTTAATTAAGTTAATGACATGTAATAAAGTTAATGACATGGACACATTAAATACGCAGGTAACAATCGTAAAACACGTATCAGTATGGAGAATGAAACATTCTTTTAACAGAAACCAGATTTACTATACTAACGCAACAAAAATAACAACTAAAATATAAACTTCAACGCTCTCAGAGACATCATTAATTAATCGACATAATTAATTACTTTATGCCTCTTGATCACAAACAAATCTGACCGCTGTTTATCATTATTCTATAACTCATCATCTAAACCTTCAACGTTTCACAGTAGACTTATTTAATCGAGAGGAAATCCATTCAAATAAATCATACTTTCATCAAATTAATCATAGAATTATCGCTTGGCGATTGACAACTGATTAATCGAATCGGAATTATTTTTCTTCTCTAATACCGTATCTCTCGATCATTATTCTCCACTGCTTGGAATCAGGGAATAATCATCGTCCAAGACTCACCGGTTCCGGTACTGCTGACAGAGTTGACTGATGAGGACTGCGACATTTGCATCTGCAGTGACATCTGATTACTACTCTGCTGCATGGCTAATGTCTGCTGCTGGTGTTGCTGCGACAGTAGCTGCTGCATCTGAGTGCTGTTGGCCATACCGGAGCCAGCGATACCTCCGCTCTGTGAGCGAATCAACTGTTGATGCTGCATCTGGGCTGCGTTCATCTGCATACCACCTGTACCAGCCATACCGAATCCACCTGGAAAATGAGGATAAGTGAAACGATTTAACGTGACTTTCTCGACTTGATAATTAAATTTTAATTCGAGAAAAATAAAATGATCCACTCAGAGTACATCACAAAAATGTATCTTCACATTTAACTAAACACTTCCTAAGTTAAACCAAGAATGAAATCTGAGTATGTGAGGTTTTAATATCTGGAACTATGAATGAAAGCTATATTAAATATTTAACCGTTTTGCTTTATAGTATTGGAATGGTCATAAGAGATAATAAGATTATGTTTCTTCCTTAATACTATTTTCTAGCTTGACTCCAGGATTATAAACTAGCCTAAATCTAACTATTAGTATAACTAGTGTTGCATATTTCATGGTTTTCCGCCTTTTACAGTATGAAACTAATCACGGAAACTGATTATAAATACATTATATTCCAAATTGCACAACACTCTATTCAGAAAAGGCAAAAGACCAATTGATTTTTACAATACCAACGGTGCTAAAAAATCATGAAGTACTCCATCAACCTAACTGACTTTCTCTCAGCTAAAAACCATAACGATTAAAAGGACCATTCCTAAATGCAACGTAAGCACGTTTCTGCTAAAAGTTTTCTCAGGAAGAAATAAAACTAGTGAAAGGTTCAGCATTCCACGTTCAGCATCGTCAACTCGTTGCCCAGTAATATCTAAGCACCAGGCAAGTAACATCAATTTCGCAGTGTCCCTTAATACTCCATTTTGCATAGGGGAATTAATTGTTAAAAATGCAGGATAATCAAAGACCGCTTAAGCAGCGCGGAGACCCTTGGCGTCGCGCGCAGATAACCGGTTAACCGAAGAAAAAGATTGCCGCTAATTCGATATAGCTCGGAACGGCGATTCCTCGCGCGAATTACCTACTGTGCACAGGATTACGAGCGTGATACCGGTGTCCCGTGGAGACGCTTACCTTGGTGACCTTGTTGGTTGAACTGCGATCGCATCTGCGCTTGAAAGCCCTGTTGCTGCATGAGAACGTGTCGCCACTCCTGCTGGGCGCCGCGGCCTGCGATGCTATTCCCAAGGCCATCGGGCGGACCGACGCTGACGTTAGGCGGCCGTTGATTGTTAGTCCTAGGATATCCGAGACGTTGATGCATCTGATGCATGCCACCAATGGCGGCCATACCTCCGCCGCCCATGTACATGTTGCCACCGGCAGCATGCAACGCCTGTTGTTGCTGCTGCGCCATTTGAGGCCTCATCATTGGACCTGGAACAGAGGCAAACGGATGATTGATTATTAGCAACGTTACTGATTCTGCAATAACTTTTATCACATTTTGCGGGTTTGCAGAGAAAGAGGAATGTACAGAGCGTATTAATTGACAATAAGTTGTCGCTCGAGGTGAGGAATCTTTTCACAAAATAAAATTTCACAGAAATCTTGAACGTAAAGGTGGGTAAGAGTTAAGAGGATGGAAGAGTCAAACTTACTATCATATTTATAAAAATATTAAAATGGGAAGTGTCAATACTGACGTGTTGCAGAAAGTACATGGGTGATGAGGAACACTGAATGGTACTATTCGCAATAGTTAAAAATGTATTGTAATAATTTTGATGTCAGATTATGTCACTGTTGCTTAAATTAAGTTCTGTTAGATAAAAGTCTGTTTTTCCTAGGAGTTAAACAAATATGCGTTAATGGATTTGACTGTACCCTAACCTTATCATTCGCGTATAACAACTATCGGTACGTTTGAATTGAAGAAATTATCAGAAAGAATTTTTTTCCGTGTGAAACTTGCCTCGAAAGATCCTGCAAATTTACGACATCTGAAGCACAGGATCGGATCGAATAGGACACCCAGATCGATCGCGGGGAAGCGTCTCTTCATTCCAAGTAAGTCAGATACGTAAAAGAGATACGTATTGCGAATGAAACGTAGCGCCTTAATGCTCTGTGGATTTTCGTTTGGATAGAATCTTATGAAAGTAGCTCCGTGCAGATCGATAGGAGCCTCGTACGGACTACGGTATATAAGAATATTTACGATCCCCTTTCCTCCATCACCGAACCTCCTCTCTCCCTTTCCCCTAACTCGTTTCCGTTCTTTCTAGCCCGAAGCAGATCCAGCGAGAGATCGGGTTCATTTCCCTCGAATACTTATCTAACCGATGGTTAAGAAGCGTGTAAACATTGTTCGAATGGACACTCCTGCATTCAGTCAAATATTTTTTCACGATTATTCGCCGTTTACTCTTTACGAGATGTGTTCCATTCGATTTGCCTACCTCTGTGTAATCTGCATAATCCGATAATCAGGATTACTCGAAAGAAAAACATTTCAAATACTAATACATCTATCCCGTTTTATTTCACGTTGTCTGGGGGGTTAGTATACTTCACGGGGCGGCCATGTCACTAAAAATGGCACAATTACTGCTCACTTGGTTACAATTGGATCATTCGATAGGTGCAAGTGTTAAGCGCATACTTCGCAGAAATGACACGGAGGGCGCTAATTGAAACGCCGAAGCGACATCTAGGTATAGTATGTGTTCTGAAGTAAGGCACTGGGAAGATAAGTTTTTGTAGTTCTCGTTGTCTCACATGGTCTCGATATAATTCATACCTTATTAGGATTTACTGCAATTCCAAAATTCTTACAATCGTATACTACATCTTCACAGTTTCTATAGTTCTACAATCAGTACCATCTTATAATTTTAAAAATTTATTTATTCTTATTTAAAAAAGAAATTGCATGCAAGCTGAAAGAGCAAAGCTAAAGTGATGTTCTGCGAGATTTGAGATATGAAAAAATGAGAAAAATTTAATTTTATATATCAATTACAAAAATTGGAAGCAGACAGGTCATGGAGCAAAGAAAAAATGAACTAACTATTATAATATTTAACAAAATCTGCCGAAAATCATTCATCATTTACAGGTTATCAATTTAGCAATTGATGAAGAGAAAGGAGTAAATTGCAGAGGCAAATCAAAATTGCTATCGAGCAGTTTCACAAGCCGAAAGGGCATTCCGACGGAAGATGAAAAAATCGATAGCAGCGCCCAGTTTCTCATTACCCTAAGTGCCTTCTGACTCCCGGCCAGTGCATATGAAAGTGACGTAACCGTCGCCACTGTCAGTGTAAAAAGCGAAACAGAGGAATGGATCGTACCGACGCGGTTGATTTCCACTTTCATAAACGTACATGTACACTTAGTTCCTCGTTTTCGTGCTCCAGTGTGTACGATCGACGCGCTTCAAAAGTTATGAGTCACTCTTTCATCTGTTTTCTTCTTACTTTATTTAAAATGGATTTATAAATTGTAATTATATACTAATTCAATTTGAACTCTACTTCTTTATTTGAACAACGAATCCATTACGTGGTATTATAAACCTAACCTCAAAGTTGAAGTGTAGCTCCTAATTGTATGAAATAGTGGAAAATTTAGTTGGGATTTATGTACTTCATTGAAATATATTACAGTTTCTATTATTTCGTAATTTATACATCATAAATCAGTTAATTACAAGTCAAAGCAAAACGCGGAAAGCAGCAAAGACATTATTTACCAATTTTTTATTTTCAAAAAAGAAATAAAATAACATTTTATAAGATATGATGTACATACTATATTTTCATATGTAGTAGATTTCTATTTCATCTTAACATCAAAATAAGACCAGGCAGTGTTATGGAACATTTCCACAGCCATTGTAATTCTAGTTCTTTATCCGAATGTATACATTCATGAAGACATTGGAATTAAGGAGATGAGGGGTTATAGTTATGGACAATGTTGTGTACTTACCCGAAGGTGGCATAGGCTGTTGCGTAACCCTACGCATAGGCCCAGTATTGGGAAACCTAGCTTGCTGACCCATACCGATACCAGCGTGCATCATTTGGGCCTGAGCCGCTTTGTATTCGGGAGGCGGCGGTCTTACGCCACCCATTCCTCCGGCCATGTGCTGTTGTTGTTGCATCACCTGAAAAATCAAGCAAACAATGGATTTCAATTATGTTAAATCACTATGTTTTGGTTAACGTAGCTTCGACTCTACAAGCCTAATCTATCTATAGTAGCCCTATTATGCAATTAGATAATGTTGCTTATGAACAATTTCCGCTATTAAGTTATTTTCTTATGGAGTGTAATTAGGCATTGCGAACATATCAAGTACAAAATACAATCAATTTATTCCAATCTGCGTAGATTTTCAATCTCTGGAAACCTATTTCTCTAAATAAAAGAGTCCTCCAAAACGATCAGTAGTGCAAATAGTAATAAAAATTAATCTTACGATATCAATTATATCTCTCCGAAAATAACAATATAAGATAACAGCTCCAGTTATGTACACGATGACTAAATATAATATTTATTTTAAGAAATAATCATCTTATAACAATCTAAGACTATCAATACGTATATACCAGGAATTCTTTGATACCGAAAGGACCACAACGGAAATTAGAAAAATCCCTAGACAGTATTTAGTTTCCTAGCAGTATCCAAACAGTGCAACCTCAGGTCTGTGTTCGACGGAACACAGAATTTATCTCGAAATTGGACCTAACCTCCGACCCAAGATACGACGTAAGATCCGATTGACGAGCCTAAAATGAGGATAGCGAACGGACTAGAAAGCAGGCCGACAGATTCCACGGGGAATAATTGCGACTCCGCTCACGGCACGCATCGATGACTCGTTGCGAGTCGCATTGTCGTCGAGTTGGCGAGCACGGAAGTTCCGAGCATCGGTGTCGTTGCACAAGTTGCCGTGGATTGCATTTCCACTTCCTGGTGTTACGCGGCGCCGCCGACGAAAGCCCGCGTACGCGACGACGACAATGAAGACGGAAAGGCAACCAGAGACAGCGGCCACACGTTTTCCTCGTTACCAGCTGAGATATACCTTCGCCGTGTTTCTCCGCTGCATTTTCTCCTCGCCTTTCTCCCTGCCCCTTCTGCTCCTTCCTGTCGGCATTTTTTCCTCCTTTCTTTTCACACACAGTGAGTGAGTCATGGATGTACTTGTACTTGCCTAATTGTTCATTCCTGAAGAGTTTGGAGTAGCACGGTATGAGCAAAGACGTACACAGGCTGCGAGATGAACTGTACGGTGGCGACATCTATTGACGTCTCGGGTGTGTTATTCTGGCTCAAGAACTCCGCGTGATTCGAACGGTGACAATTTATGATTAACCATTTGCATTTGAATTATCATACCGAATTGTATATACTATACGTAATATGTTTACTTGGTTTTCGGTCACTGTCACTCGGTTGGTTATAGATAGCCAATTAGAATTAAAAGAGTCGATAATGGCCATTAGGGACTACCATGGTGTTTCATTTAGGAATAAGAAAATTGCAAATATTAATTGCAATTGTAATACGTTTGAAAATTCGAAACAGAAAGTTTAATATCTATAAATTTTTATCTTTCACAGAGTATAGTTAAGTTATTTTATTGCTAATGAAAGAAATATTTATATTTTGCGCATTTCGTAACGTGTTGTATTAAAACAAATAACTCACATCGGTACTGCGGATAAATTATGCGAAACTGGATCAACGTTGAATGTGTTAAGATCTTCGTTTCTTTAAAAGTGAGCCGTTTCCAAACTTTCTAACACAGCGCTCTCTATAGCAAAGAGAAGTATTTTTCCGTTCCTCGACGCGCAACAACCCGCGATTAGGTGAACACCGCCCTGTGCGCTCACAGAGCTTCTGGTGAACGGAGGAAGCATTCGTAAAATTGGCATGTAGCAACTCCACGCGCCTTTTTTTCCACTGATTCGTACTTGAGAAGAAGGAAGTGAATGGTGTTTCATGGATCGGTTCTGGATGAGGTTACTTGGAACTATTTACCTTAACTATTTAGTACTCCAAATCCGTTATATTTCAATAAAATTCATTATAAATTTTAACACCGGCTATTGAGTATAAACAACTTCTATATTTGGAAACTTGTTACTATGAGAATTAAAATTTGAATTTCTACAGTAAAGATAATTAAAGAATACGCTCTTAGCATGCTGGTATAGTTCGTCCAGATTAAGTTAAAAGGAAATTTATAATAAAATAAAATTAAAGACAACGTGAATTATTATACATCCAATGTATTGTATACAATGTACAAACATATTATTATATTAAGTCGTACGTCTAAAGAATATTTTAATGTATCTATCAAAGTTTTTCTTTCACCTATGAAATTGCCTGAAACAAATAAAAGAACAAAAGAGACATGTAAAGCCCTTATTTCACTATTCACTTCTCAACAACCTAAAACTGGTCCTTCAAACTCACGGGAAGTCCTAGTCAGGCGGACCAAACCGAGTACCACTTAAAACAAAAATATATTAACAATTTTCTATGGATTTTCAAATTTTTAGAAAGCGGAAACAATATGTGACACATCGACACAGAGCATAAATTCTTGATAAATTCCAGAACATCAAGCCGAATGATTATATTGGAGAAGCAACAGATCTGCTTTTATTCGTTAACCGAGGAAGCACTAGTGGTGTTCTCACGGTAATTAGAAACGCGATTGCTTTTCACGATGGTTCGATTACGTAGAAAGTGACCGGGACTCGAGCCGTGTAATCTCGGAAAATCCTTTTTCGCCTTGCAACATGATCCCGAGTGATTCAGCCCACTCTGGAGTAAGCAAACGATCAAACGATCCGGTACTTAGCTTTTCAATCGGTGCACACATTTGTTTTATTACATCACGATGGATGGCCCTAGAGTAGAAGGGATTCTACTCCAGTCGTGCAGTCGAGAGCGAATGACGAGGAAGACGAAGAGGCATGGAAGGTCACTTGACGAAGGATGACTAACCAATTGCGCGAAACCTACAATTAGTAACTGGAGCACGATCAAAGAGAGCTTGCCTTCGATACCTTAACGTCGCTAAAGTAATACTTAGTATTTACGACTGAGTCATTCGTTAATAAATCTCATACCACGAGCGTAAACGTGACTACACACCACTTCTAAGGAGTCTGTGAAATCGCTAATAATTTTACCGTGCTCATCGAATCGCTTTCAATTTTCTTTGCAGTGTGTTCTTCTTGCGAACAAAACGATCACTGATTACTGTGATTTGTGGTTTCTCGATACTTATACATTTAACTTCTTGGCCCTTTTCCTTGATGACAGGATGAAATAAAGGAAATCGTTAAAAACATCCTTCTCATACGCACACACACACACATTCTCTCTTTCTCTGTCATAGGACTTTTGTACCTCTGTGGGAGTAAGAGAAATTATTTTTCATTACAGTTCTTTGTACTATTCGAAGAACTAAGAGGAAGAGCTAATGGCTGATATAAATGAATTACTCTAAGTGATAAAGCAGTGGTGGTGGGAAGGCACTGTAGCGTTGTAATATATTAGCAGGGTGAAGGATAAGAGAGAGAAAGAAAGGTTACTTTGTCATAAGTCTACGAAAGTGGGCTCATCAGTAACAGGCCAGTCCTTTAGATATCAGGACAGTGAAGTCAGATAGTGGAGTTTAAAAAATTAATAAACTATAAATAACAATAATAAACAATAGTATTATTTCTAATGAAATTTTAAGCAACAAGAATTCACGTCAGTGACTTTAAATGTATTAACAAACAATTGTGAGTAACTTAAACGAATCATCCAAAAATTACTCCAAGGTTACTAACGCTAATAAGCTTCAAACTTGAACTTAATCTGTCTACCTAAAAACGAACCATACTGCGCGCAACTGTACTGTAACCCGAATATTGCACGTAGAAATCTGAAAGCGACGAGTGACACGAATTTAGCCGGTGTCACGATCTCCAGGTTGCGAGGTGTGATTTTGCACTGAATGTTTCATCAAATGTTTCAATAGCCCGGTCGCGAAACAAGCATTCGAGGGGATAATTCGTGGAAGAAGACGATTCATTGACAGTAATTGAGCTCGTGGACACAGTTTCTTCGGATGCAAATTGGAAATGCATAAAAGATGAAGAACACGGTGCTGGACAAGATGTAAATGACTACATGCAAATGTTGTCTGATTGCAAAGTTGTCGGCGTTACATTATACCTCGGGTAACTAGAACAACAGGCATGGCACAAACGAACGTCTCCTTTCTTTCCTTCCATTTTCTTCTCCCTCTTTATTTTTCTCCCGTCTGTTTCTTCTTCTTCTCTTCGAATCGACACAAAGGGCAATAACTTCACGCGAGAATAAAAATTGAAATCTCTAAATGGGGGAAGCGTGGCGCAGAGATTTGGAATGGGTGCAAAATGTGACGCGTTCGCTTGCAATTTGAAACTCTAATAGGTTGAATACAAGTACGAGAGTATGAGTGCTGCACGTGGAATGAAAAGCGCAGAGGTTCTGCGCACGTAACCGCTGTTCATCTTCACGATGAACATTTTTTCAAGCAACTCGATTAGTGAGAACTTCGTAGCCTTGTGTATCACTCGGAGTTTACAATCTTTATTTTTATCGCTAATTTGCAGTAAGGAGAAACGTTCAGACGATTTTCTCGAGGATTATTATTCCTTATGATACGTTAAATTATAAAATGAGGTACATACACAAGTAAGTATGGATCGCTGGTGAATCACGAATGAACGGATAGATGGCGCCTGAGTGTTCAAGTCTCTAAAATAAATGTTATATATAAATATCGATGTAAAAAGAAAGTCGAGAGCAATTGCGGTAACGAATTATGGTCATCTGTAAATGTACTGGAACTATGGATGACAATTATATAATATGTCATAAATTGATAGAAACTCCCCTATTGTAGTACCCAATTATTATTTTTTAGAATAAATTAGTATTCTGCATTCTGTTAAAAATTATTCTTCGATTACAAATTATCCACGAAAGTGCGAAAATCAAAATTATTGCAAAATATTTCGTAATCATTAGTTATATAAACGCCGCTAGAAGTTTCCTTGATAAACTATATTACAACGAACCAGACTAAATTACATATTAAATTTCCAAGGGTAACAATCAATATTTTCTCATGATTAAATATTACGAGAATAATGAGAATAAAAAATATTCGATAATTTGATTAAACGAATCGAAAATTATTTTTCACAATCCTAAATTGTTAACAACAGTCGTAAATTTCTTTTACATTTAAAGAAAGAAAGAGGATAAGAATTGCCATACGCGAAAGTAATAATACGACTAAAGAGCAACGAATAACAAACCGCAACAATTTCATTCCATCGAACTCCTCAGGGCACGACAAACCGCATCCGTAAACATCGTAAGAGAGCCAAGATCTCGTTCGTGTCGCGATAACGACAACCATTGCGTTTTCTCCAGGAAGTGCACGCGAACGCAGATTTCCCAGTCGCTGAAAAAGTTTCCATTCATTGTTCCGCAGACACTAACACGCCTTGTCCCATTTTTGCAGCTTCTTTCAACGCGATGGTACAGAAGTTGCGAAGGAGTCGCAATACCTGTTGCACGCCATCTCTCGGATTCGGGCTTAATGTTTCGAATAACGTGCCGTCGCGACAAACACGCACGCCATGATTCTTTTTCGCTCGAAGGAAGTTGCAAGACCATTGAAGGATTATATGGAAGATCAACATCCCACTATATTCTTTTCTAAAAACTCTCGGTTAAGATGTTTCATCGAATTAACTCCGAATCCAATTTTCCTCGATATGTAATTAACTCCGAATATATTAAACATTACGAACGATATTCTAATTTCAAGATTACCCATTACCTTATCCAATGAACTAACTACTATAAAACCTAATTTTCAATGAGCCTCTCCCCTAACCTCGATTCAAACTTAATTACTTATCTCTCGCCAAAACTTCTCCTCGCATTACCACAATCCCAAAGGGTCAACAGTTCGATACAGATTATTACAATGTTCCTCTATTTCTCAGAACAATACTGCAGACCCTCGTGTCCCTTTCGTGTCAAAATAAAAATCCCCCTGATTGACCACGAATTAAACCAAACCCATTACGAATTAACCTTCCCAACCTTCCGCGAGGGAAACGCCATTTCTATTACCATAGATAAACATCGCTGGCCGCCATTAGGTAATTAAAGCATAAACCAGTCCCGGTTCACACCCTTGAGTACGACGTTATCACACGACAGGAGAACCATGGAAAACTTCCAACCCGATCGATCGCGAACGAGAACACGTACCTGCTGTGCGCGCATCAGCTGCTGCTGCTGAAGGATCTTCGCGTGCTGATGTTGATCCACCTGATTCGGCGGTACTTGCTGGGGGTGGTTGCGTGAAGCAGCATTGCCAGCTGGCTGAGGGACGCCACTCGCTGCTGCGGCGGCGGCCCTCTGTCTCAGACTCTGCTGGGTGAAGTTGATGGTCTGAGATTGTGAGACCGAACAATACGTATCGGTTTGCCCGGCAGGTCCGGTCTGATTTTGGCTCTGTTGCTGATTAAAGTACATGCCCTGTTGGGCCGCCACGGACACGCCCGGTTTCAAATCGCCTGTGAGCTGCATGTGTTGGCCCGCGGACACCTGTAACAGAAGAGAGAAGGGTAGATTAGTACCACTCTGCGTGTTTGGTTTTCTTTGGGCTTGGTGCTATTCATAGCTCAGTAACTATTAGAAACGTCATCTAGGAATATTCCAGTAATGATCTGGTTTCGTAGGGAGACATTGGTGTAGTTTGTTCAAAGCTTAAGTCCTAGATTTTGTAAGTGAAAACGTGCTATTTTAGAAACATTTGGGGGGAGGGTGTAATGAGATATACGTAATTCGTCTAAAGTTTCGTGAGGTTAATACGAAACTATTTCTTTTTGCCTGCTTCAAGGGTAATATACGTGTTCTGATCTTACCGATTTATAGGTTAGGTTTTATGAATACAGTAATCGTTACTCAGTAAGAAATAACAGAAATTTGATGTTGCTTTAAAGAAAAAGTATGAGAATGTTGATTCATAAAAGTTGCAAACTAATTTAAAGCGCTTCCACGGAGTAAGTATGGTGCTAAGTACGAATACACGAGTAGATATCGCCACTTAATGCTTTAATGTACGACTGTACTATGCTTACGAACTATACTGGTAACTTTGTAAATTCTAAGACACTTTTTTAAAGTACACTTCAAATCGACCAAATTATCGACACACTTTTAACCCTTTTAACACCTAAAACACGCACGATAGTTAGCACTAAGACGAATTTTATTACGGTTCACATGTTCCTAGTCTCACAGCGATAGTGTAGGCGGCGTATGATTTGGCCTGTTAAAGGTATGATCCAGGTTCGAACATAGATCAGATCAACCGGTGCTTTTCATCCAGAGCTGCACAGGCGAACAACGGCTCGCCACAGGCGGGCTGGAATTTGGTTTTTAGCAAAAAAGCGGCAGACAAGTGGCGACTATTGTCCTGTCGTCGCTCGTTGCCCGGTCAATGATACAAAATGGCTACCGTTCTTCAATATTTCATCCACCGACCGACGAAGGGAAAAAGGGCCGGGAGGGACACAGAAGGCACGAGCGTTGTCCAGTATGGCTTCGATGACCCTTTGACCTCGACAATCGAGTCGTGGTAATCTAGTCCGACTTTAAGCTTCCCCTCACTAGTTTTCTACGATCGAACGAATATCGTGCCCGTAATGGTGATTATTTACGAAGTTATTGTTCTAAGGAATTTCAATTTCGCGTTTGATTATTAGAGTAGGTAGTATCGCAATGGAATTGGATAGTAAAAAATTGAGTAGTATAAGGAGGTAGATAAGTTGGGTGAAATTTATTAATTGCATTTAAATGAAAATTAATAAATCTTCAGTATTCGGATTCATAAAGAACGTCAGACAATATTCAAAGATGCGAGAAGTACTAATGTCGTTCAACACGTTACCTTATCCTTCTACTATTATTTTCTACATATTGCATTAAGACTAGACCATGTTTTGAACACAATGGACATATTTAATATATTCATTGACTCCCATAAACTATAACTTAATTTTAACGACATTGAATACTTCACGTGAATTAAATATCGTCAAATTAGGTTAAATAGGAAAAGAAAAAATGTAATAAAATAAAAATTACGTAATACCTGAGCACAACCTAAACAGAATATTCCTCGATATTAAGTAGCGATTAGAGTAATTATGAATATAGTCATTCTCTCATATAGTTGTGTTTTCATTGATCAAGACACCTCGTACACTGTCGAAATTGTATGGAAGAATCATCAATCGAAATCATAATCGAATTACCAAAAAATTGAAAAGTCGTCATCATCGCAAAGTAAATTCGATAACCGCGAATTTCTAATGCGAAACATGGAATAAGAACAAACGATATTCCGCTTTGGCCTCGGACCACTTATTGGCCGTCTCCGCCAGTCCTTTGTTCGTACGCGCCATATGGAAATTGCCTCGATCCGGTACCTCGTCAGTACTTTATTATAGCAAGCGACTTATGACCGACGTCGCTGTGCCTAAGTGTCACAAGGTCTTGGGCGCGTGCACCGGCCACGCATAATCGAGCCAAGCCTCGATCGTCCTCTATAGATATCAAATTTTCTGTTCCACATGTTTCTAAATATATCGCGACTAGATTGGATCCGTGACACAGACGTCTTGAATGACTTCGAGTGGTTATCTTCATCTCGAACTAGATGCATTTCTTTCCTATTCTTGAACATAGCTGATGCACGTGATCGTTGATCGTGAAATAGTATAAACATCAACTAACGATTTTAGTTTCATTTTTTAAGATTAACCCAGATGTACACACCTGTGATTGAAGTTATTGGCCATCACGCAAGTCTGTTTTAATCTATTCCGTACCCTAGGTATCCTAGACAAGATAAGGATACACTTTTTATCTTATAATGATGACTCATAAATAATTTCCTCAACCCATAAATGAAACTCGATAAAAATGAAGAGCTACTTCAACGTGAGATAAATCCAATTCAATTTCAAATGGATCTTTATGCAATACTCCAAACTCAATGATAACGAGAATTAGCAAATTTTTTTTAAATTAAACAGATATAGAGGGAGTAATAAGCGTTTGCAGACGACGACTTGTTAATTCAGTAAAATATTTAGGTATCGAAAGATTGTCCACCATACTGGTGAATTTCTGCATGGTAACGCGGCCGTTTCATCGAGACAACGCACGCCCTCTCGTGCTGCGAATAATCTTCATTACGGTAATTAGCGAGCCAACGCTCGTGGATCTCCATTCCTCGTCACTCGTCCTGCTGCTTGTCCGAATCACCGTTGTATCAGGTGGCAGAAAAATTTGTAAATAGTTTCCTTCTCTGAAATCCTGACTGGATGAAGTCAGTTCTATGCAATGTATCGCACCTGGCGATCCTTTTTTAGTTAAAATGGGAACTAGAGTCGGTAATGTTTGAACTAATCGAGGAAGCAAATCCTGCAAGTGAAAGTTTGAGAGTTGTTGTTACCGCTGGAGGTGTTTTATGAGAGAGAAGAGCGAGGAAGAGTAGTGTCTTGAGGAATGATCGTTTTATGGGATGTCTAGGGCTGTTTGTCGAGTATCACTTTCAGTTCCAGACTTATATTACCTTCAGAATTCCTGTATCGGACTTTTGTTGAAATTTAAGCACAGATTCGATGAATCCAACTTCATTGAGACCATTAGAGAAAAATGATTTGGAATGGGTCTATATTTATTGTGATACAAATCACAGGTAAGATTTTAGTTTCATCGATGTAATTTTACACGAGTGCTTGGATATAATACTGGATATAGTCAAGTGACGAAAGATGCATAAACGTGTCCAAAGGAGGCATAACTTGTCAGCGTAGAGATAAAAGTAGCAAATTAAATTCAAAATTAAGAATTCATCTATCATATTTAACAATTCCAAACACTAAACTCCAATATGTTCCTCTCCCAAAAGCATTTCGATTTATTATAACTTCAACCAATAAAATTCACTGCATCTCTCAGTTCGAATTATAGCACCTCATAAATACTCTGACGATCGAAGATCTTTTAACCAGTTCATTACCAGTTAACTATCGGTGCAGCGCATAAATATCGACGTATAAATTCTCCGGTACAAGGAACATCGTAATCTCGTCTTCACAATTGCGTGGCGCATAGTCGTACCAACCACACCCCATCGATATGGTAACAATAACCGCTGAAACCACAAAGAACAGTTCAAACGCAGCTCATCGCGTCGAGCAGGCTATCCCAAGGTCAACAGGCAACCTGCTTTAACGGGCCATTTCATTATGATCACCATCCTCGCTCTAATTACGGCCCAATCTTCATCCCGACCGATTCAATCTCTCTTGCAGCCAATCGATTCTTCAAATAGCAAAACAAATCAACCTGGTTGGATGACCAGTCTTCTAAGTCTCCAATAGCCACTGAAGTAAGTAATAAACGCATCATGTTCAAAACCAATTGCTTTTCCCAGCTCTCATTCTGGAATCTAAGTTTATGCAGAACCGGGATCAGTGATTTAGTATTAATATATGTTAGTCTCGGTATAAGTATTAGGTGGCATTCGAAAAAGCTTATTTTCTAATCCGCATCCTTCCTGCCCAATTGCACAGTACTTTTATAGACAGAGTATCTTTTACGTCTATTTATACAGACAGGCGTAAAATCGTTCTATGTACTCAACTAGGCTAATCCAGGCCAAATGAGGATCGTTTGGATACGAACACTTGGCATACTTTACACATTGATTGCCATAGGGGTCATCGATGACGCTCTACTTGCGTCAGTGGCACCCTAGGGATCATTATTTGCGATTACTGGCGCTGGAGACAGTCATCTCCATTCATTGTTCGATGCATGTTGATTTTTAAGATGACTTATTGTCTTGAAATTAGAAATCGGTACTCTGATTGTTAGACAGACAAGTTCAATAACTGGGATTTAGAGTAAGCATAGAGTAAGTTTAAAAGTAAGTTTAGGGTAAGTACAGAGTAACTTGAATCGAATAGTTCTAATTAGAAATTTAGAGGATGCTGCTTAATTAATTTTACGAACTCGATATAACGTGTGTTCTTAATCTCAAATCGCCATTCATAGTCTCAAACGACTAATCAGAATCAGTCTCAGTCCCTGTCTTGTAACCAAAGAAAAGTCATCCGGTTGCATAGGGTTAAATAGCTGGAGAGCATCACGTAATCCGCGTCCTCACGCGGAAACGAGCGACCGTGTCCGCTGGAAAGGGGCGGAAACACCGTAGGCTTTTAGATATGACGCCGTAGGAGAAAGCCTCTACTATGGTCGGGTCGAGCATAATTAGCCTAAATCACGACGGGGTGTCCCTGCGGGAGCTGCTGGCCGCGACATCTGCATAGCACGTGTCTTGTTATCCGCTGCTTACGGAGGAGGAGTTTTGGCGAAACTGCTGGAGCTTCCGCGGACAAGGACCAATCCTGAACCGACCATTTGGACGGGAATACTAATATGGAGAAAGGGTCCGGAACGCGTTCGAGAAGCGCCATCTATGGCCCAGCAAACACCTTAACACTGTCTTGCCTAGTCGATCTATA